GCTGCTCATCTCTGGAGATCTCATTATAAGATCCACAAGCTGTTCAGGCACGTACCCTTGCTCTTCAGTCTCTCATCCCATCAGTTTGTACAGCATAACTTGTCTGAAATCTCCACTACCCCTTTGCAGTATTGGCAGAATAAAGCAATAATTGTTGATTAGGAAATTGCGCTGTCCACCTAAAGAGAGAGGCACAAAGACAAAGAGAAAAACTGCTCTGCAGAGTTTTTTAATGTACTGTAACTGTTAGCTGTCAATAACAGGTGTATGGCTAGAATCTCTGATCTGAGCAATGAGACCAGTGTGGGTTTGAAAGTCTCCTCAATGTTTTGTCCAGCAGATACTGACAACCAACATGGTTGGAGCCAAAAGCATCACTTTTTCATGATCCTACGTGAATGCCATGCTCTCTTGCTTTCACTCTTTCTGTCCTCTTTGTTCTGTCTCCCACAGCGTCACCATTTTCAGGAGTAATCCGTTATATGCAAGTATTATTAATGTGTTTATATGAAATGCTGTGAGTATACACCTGGAAACCACTGCTTTGAACCAAAGCCGCTCAGGTCTTGATTCCACAAGAAGATATAAGAAATACAATAATATTTGTAGAGATGTTTGTAGGTCAAGCTGCTAAACGCTAAAGGTATATTTTGGAATTTTGGCATGAGCTATGGAAGCTCCTTGTCCAGGCTTTATGCTATAGGTGAAGCTAACTGTGTCCCAGCTCCAGCCTAGTGCTTACCTGACTGGCATAAATGGTATCATTACTTTTCATTTAACTCTTGGAAAGAAGGTTAATACATCTATCTCCCAAAATGAGGAGTTCTTTTAACATCTTCTCAGCATCAAAGGCTTTCTTGCTATTGCACATAGAGTACAGTACATTTATCAACCTGTGCTACAGGACCCTAATAGCAAACACGTCCCTCTTTAAAGCTGCTCTCCTGCCTAGGTAAAGCCACACTGGGTGGCAAATTTATACTTCAATATCTTACACACTATTCTCATTTTGTGTCTGTATAAATGGCACACTATTAAACAAGCATAAAACATGACAAGGAGAAGTGTTTCCTCTTATGTGAGCCCTGAATAGAGTGAACACTGGCCGTCTCAAATGGGGACTATTAAATTTGAAATTGAAATTTTGAAAAGAGAAACTATCATTTTATTTCAAGGGCTCATAAACTGAATGACATACAGTATCTGTGCAGCAATGATTCACTCGCAGTCTGGCTGCCATCCAGACCACAGGAAAATATGTCTTTAAAAAAAACAGAGATTAAACAGAGCCTAAGGGTCAATTTATTAAGTAAAAAAAATATTTGGCCTCTTGTTTGTGAAGAATTGTGATTCTGTTGAATACACAGTACCTTGCAAAGACCTCATCTGCATTGCACCTCTGAATAGAGTTTGTAGATGAATATACAAGTTGATTATACTGGTTTGTGCGTTTGCCTGTCAAACTTTGCTCATTAAAACTTTTTTTGCTTATTGAGCTGGCTATCTGTCCAGATCGCAGTGCTTTCCAAACACAGCAGTAATTGCTGTCAGTTTTTCTGCAGATAAATAAACCTTAGATTACGCTTCTGGGTTTCTCTTAGTTATGAATATATGTGAAAACATTATCTATTCATGGCAATCCCAGCCTCCTGATGGAAATCCTGCCTTTTGCTACAGATGCTGTGGAAAGCGAACCCTTCAGCCCCTGCACATCCTGCAAGCCCCTCCGCCCCTCTGGCCTGCAGCCATCTGTATAATGAAGTCACCTCTCCCTCTTGGCTGTGGCCCAGGTGTAAAAAGAGTATTGTCAGCATCACAATGAGAAAGAACGAGGATCCCCTGCATGAGAGATGGATGTGATGTCCTTGTCCATTCAGCTCCCTCAACACCCAGCACCATTCCTTGCCCCCAGCGCAGTGTCACATATACTTTACCCCCCACCCTTCATCAGCCCATCACTCACTGTCATTCTGTCATCCACTCTGAGGGAAAGTAAAACCATTAATGCAGACTAACAGCCCCTTCCACCTGCTGCCATGAGCTTAGTGGCTGTTGTCTGATGTTCAAGTATGCAGTGCTAATACCCACATGCACACATTTTGTGCAACTGCAAGTGTCATGCTATGACTTTTGTTGGCTACACACACTAACCTTAACCCCTAACATCATAGTCCCACCTTCAAAACATAATCCAGAGTATTCTCTGAGTATGAAACTGTGCATCTTCATACTGAACAGAGGCTTTGATACAATACTTTATTGCAACTGTTGTGCATTTAAGACTTTAAGACTTAACCCTATAAAACCATTTGTATCATATTTGTTACGTGAAGTTTCTGAGCAAAAAAAATCGCCAAAAATGCCCCATTTATCAAATGTGATACAAAAGAAATAGAAATAATCTAAATAATATGGCACCTCTATTCCTTTATGTCTGGACTGTCTGTCTATACATATATGGCAAAGAAAGATCGTGAATCTTGAATTTCGAATCATGAATTATATTTTGGATTTTGTTTTTTAATATACATCTCAGTTCAAAAAAATTAGAATGTTCTGGCTATTTTTTGATATGTTGGGCTTTACAGGGTTAAGACGTTTCTTTTTGATAAAGCTTATAGTTAGGGCTGGATCAGGTGACCCTGAGCCCTCCCTTAGTTATGCTGCTATAGGCCTAGGCTGCTGG